ATTGAACATGCCTCTGTATGACAGCTGTGTTTTCCTCTAGCTCCCTCTTGAAGGAGGGATATCTGCAAAGCAATAATATTCAGAAAAGTCCTAAGACAACACCTCAAACCATTTCACCTGAAGTTGCAATGGTTAATTGTGCTAGCACATAGGTCTGAAAAATTCCTTCCAAAACAAAGCAACATTTCATGTCAGGTTTATGTAATATCTCTAGTGTGTTCCCTACACAGATAGTTGTCACTCCATCAAAACAGGTTTTTTACGGAATTCTGGTAACCACATTAAATAAAGGCAGTGGAAGTATATTTTGTTGTGATAAATTTCATTTTGCTGGTTAAGCCCTGCCATGTGGTCAGTTCAAGGAAATTGCAATTGTTCAGAGAGGAATTTTAGGGTTATTTAACTTTGAAAACACCACTAGATTAACATGTATTTTTTTTCTCCATCTTGACATAAATGCACACCCACGTATGAGAAGATATATTAGCACAACACATTTATAGAAAAGCCAGCTAGACATATTTGATTGCATCAACAATGATTCCAGTGAAAACAAACTAAAAATCAAGTTCACTTCTGTCTTTTGCCTGTGTCCAGCTATTGCATGAGTTGAATAGAATGACAGTTTGTAGCACTTATTAAACCAATACTTTGCTTGATATCAAAGAGAATTGCCTAATGCAACTAGAATGTTTCGGGGAAATCTTGACAGTTTTATCAAGAAACAAAAAAAAAAAGTAAGCCACTTGCATCCATCATCACCCTGAAAACACATAACCTGTAGCTTGTAATAATGATAGTACCTAAACCACAAAATTAAATATTAACTCAGAATAAATTGGGCCTGAAATAAAACACACTTGCAGCAAGCAAGTTGGATCACAGTCTTGCTTCATAAGGTTTCAAGTTTTGCTAGATGACTATATAGGCACCTTTTAAATTTTACATGCATTGCATCTGTTGTCTGTGGGAGTAGAAAATAAATGTTTCAAGGCACTTGGTTGCCTCTGAGAGGTTTTTTGTTGAGAAGTTAGCCATGTATTTATGGTCAGTTTATAACAGCAAGGCAAATCAGGAAAGAGAAAGCCTTAGAACAGATTTGTCTACTCAGTGTAAATTAAGAAACACAGTTAATTTAGTATATGGGATAACACAGTATGCAGCATTTCTAACTTGGTGCTGGTGAAACACTTCTACTAATTAGAAAAATCACACTTTCTAATTACAATTAACGTAAATAAAATGTACATATATTGGTTTGCGGAAGAAAACATCCTGGGTAAAATTCTGAAGAATTCTGAACAGAAATTGTTCTTAGTGTTATTCTGTTTATGAAACCTTGGTTTACCAACTTAACTAGTGAAGAACGTATTTGACCAGAAACTGCATAGTTTCATCCCTGAACATGATGTTAAAACTGAAAGATTTCACCTGATTAAAAAAATAAGTAAAATTCAAAGTAGGAAACAATTCTATGATAAGACCTTGCAGTTCATCAGGCAGGAAAGGGAAAATGTCACTAAAGTTGTGTCATGAGAAACAGGACATGGTTTGACACAAGGAGTGCCACAGATCATTTGAATTGTAAAGAGTTAATATTTTAATCTCTAAATTATACACACTGATAGTGATAGGATTAGAGCTTCTTTCTTAAAATGGTGTTAGTTTTACTGTTATTAATAGAATTAATATTAATAGCTTGAAGATTCCTGTCTAGGACTAGGGCTTTGCTACATCAGATGCTACAAACACACACAGACACAGTGATAGTGGTCCCTCAGCTCAAATTAGTCTTCTTTAACCTGTTACTTATATTATTTTTCTTGTAAGTCAGCCAGTTCCTCAAGACAGAAATAATTTTATTTTTAGGACATCAGAGTTGAACTCTTATCTGAAGATGTGTCAGTAAATTATACACATTAATGCTGATTAATAGCTAATTAAGACCAGATCTAGCACACCATAGAGCCCACTAATGGGAACCTTTACTTCAGATTGGGTTAATGCCAGAAATTGCATAAGACTGGCTTATACCTAGCATTTTTGCTAACTATACCTCTTAGCTGTTTCATTAGGTAAGTTTTTAACCAAACTCCATAATTAGTTTTCATCATTCTTTTCCCAGTTTCACTCTGTCTATAAGAATAAACCACTTGAATGTTAGAAAATTACAACTACAGTTTTGATTAGTAAGTTTGTTTAAATACAAGACCAAAGCATAATCGTTGCCAATAAAGTAGATGTTCTGGCCTATTTGTAGAATTAATAGAGAATATGGGCTAGGTTTTATATTCTTTCAAACCAAAAAGAAAAATGTATACTTCTTTCCATTTTGTTCCAACAAGTGTGAATATTCTCATTCTCCCACAATGGTGAGTGCAGGCATGGAGAAGCTGGTACTGGCAGCTGGAATACCTACATGCCTAAAGATGTTGCTGCCAGAACAATAGCTTTCTTTATATAGCCATGAGAAAAGATGGAGTAGATTTGATTATGACACCTGCTTCTGACTCCCAGCATAATTAAAAATCTCAGATCAAAACTTTTTACTTTTAAAATTTTAAAATTTACTACTGGCTGTAGTACCAATAATTGTGAAAATGGGAGGAATCAGGCACGGTGTGTTGAAAACGCAAATGCTACAGAAAGTGGCCTGCAGGTGGCTGAACTATTTTTGAAGGCCTGTTGTAATAACTACTAGAGCTGGGAGGAAACTGCAAGCACTCAGGTCTGCCAGAACTCTTTTCTAAGTTTCATGGATCCAGTAAGATAAGTAAACAGGAGAAGGAAGCAAGAGAAGAGGTAGAGCTGGAAATGATGCAGGAAGGCTGTATGTATCTGCCACCCTCCCAGATGCCCTTCAGACAGCAGTCCACAGAAGGCAGCTGCCTTCAAAGCCTTGCAAACCATTCAGAAACAGCTCTTACTGTAACCCTGCTTCTCTTTCCTTTGTGTACTTGCAGTACACTCAGCTGAAAAAGTAAATGGCTTCAAATAATGGCCTGGGGTTGGCTGGAGTTCTAAAAATGCTGGTAAAATAATACTCAGTGCTGAGCAAATGTTTAAACACAGAAGCATAAAATCAGGAAATGCTCTGTTTGTAGTCAAGCATTACAAAACCCACTTAATATGGTTGTTGTGGTAAAGCAAACTTTGGTGTCTAAGAAGACAGTAATGAAAGCTAAAATTTTACATACAAGCTAATTAGCCAACATGGGATTAATAAATTCCAGAGTTTCAGAGGCTTTCATAATGAGCTAAGGCTTAGACACACTTTGTTCTATTGTATGATTAATACAAGCACCAGCACTGTTTCAAAAATCACAGCAGTATTTATGTACTTTGAATTCTCATTGTCAAAATTTCAAAAGGAACCAATTCTGCAGTAATGAGCACAACCTGAAAAGTTTCTTGTAATTAGGTTTGGTTTAATCTGGAGGAGTTTGAAGAAAGTATCTATGACTACTGAGGATGTAGTGTAGCTAATGGTGGTTTAAAGATTTCAATTACAAAAATATTTGTTCAGTTCCAGATTTTGGGAAACATTGCAGCAGCAACTTCCTAAAACCATAAGTGAAAATCTCAAGGATGGAATCTGCCTCCCCAGGCCATGCTAAGCAAAATGCTAACATGTATCAGTTAATTCTGAGCACAGGCTGTGCTTTTGTAGCTCTCAGAGCCCTTGTGAAGAGCTGAAGATGATCCCATTGAGTCAAATGCTTTGCAATTGCATCAAAACGATCATTCTTGAGCTCTGACAACCGGGCTCCAAGTATGGAATATACAGATCATATGAGGAAATATTTTCCACAGAAGACAGTGGTTTCACTACACCAAGAATCAAACCACTGGTTTGAAACCACCAGAGTACTGAATGAGAACTGCAGTGACCCACTCTGTTCAAGAAAAAATTTAAATTTTATAATGGTTAATGAAAGCAGCAAGACATGGAAGCCACATGGACCTGTGTGAGGGCCAGAACAGCAGTGCACAGCACAGTCAATGAGCTGATACATGAAATGGAGAAAAGCAGAATAGTCTGAAGGGAGTTGACACTCACTGGTCAATTTTAGTTAGGATTGACTTGGGAGTAAAAAGTGTCCAAAGAAATAACTGTGAGTAGTAAAGGGGAGCTGAAAATTACTTATTCAAGTGCAGATGAGGGCTGCAAAGGAAAGCAGCCCAGAAATCTCCATCCCTGTGTATGGCAGAAAGTGAGAGAAGAGAGTTGAAAAAGGGGAAGTCAGCAAAAGGATTAGACAAGGGGAAGGACAGGTACTCTGTCAACTTTCTCTTTGAGGAAAGCTACAAGATTCCATGCAGCAAGAGAGATAGAAACAGAAAAAGAAGCGTGTAAAAGAAGTGACACAAACATAGTACAAAAACAGCAGACTACTACTAAACAAAGATGGCTGAGACTGAAGCTGCCCCCAGCTGCCCCTCTCCCTGTTGAGGGCAGCCAGGCAGGGCTCAACCAGGGACCAACCCATCACTTCCTGCACACCTGACCTGGTCACCAGACAACCTTGGTTTTGCCAGTCTGGCCAGCAATGAGAAGGACTTGATGACTTCCTAAATTTTGTGCTCCTTCAAGGAGCTTAAAGCCCCAGGTATCTCTTGCAATAGTAGCCTAAACTAGTCACAGTGCATCAAATAAAATCCCACTCCTGAAGACATTCCAGCTTAGTCATCAGCCAAAATTCTTATGTCACTAATTATGAAAAATATAGCTGATTAACCATTATCCAATAATTTAAATTGATCTTTGAAGCTATATTTGAAGAGTTAAAATGTGCCCTTTTATCAGAATCAGGATCAGAATATATGTTGTTTTAAAAGAGTAGGTAAAAGGTATTAAAGTGTGTTCTGGAAGTCTATTACATAGTTTGAAAGCAGAATAGACTAACTCATGGGTCTGTGTGTGGTATTATTACTCCCTGGATTACTATCATAGCAAAAAGCACATTTCTCCCTGGAAAGAGTGAAATAAATTCCAGTACCCTTCCTTTAGCAGAAGTGTAGGGGACCTCCATTACTCCTGGAGTCATCACTTCTTAGTCAAAGACCTGCAAATAAAAACAACAGTTACAATGTGGTGAGTTGAGATGAATTTTCACTTTACCCATTGCAGTTCTGAGGTGGGACTAAAGATGTGTCAAGAAAATTTTGTCTAGAAAGCACTTTAAATGCAAAGCCAACCAGATTCCCATCAGGTATTTTTCTTAAACAGTTTTTAAAGGATACTATTCTTTAAGTTTTTAAGTGTCTCCTGTGAAGTACTAAGCACTGTTAGTTTTCATGGTCATCAATTATTTCTACCAGTAGAGAAATTCAGGACACTTTCCTCTCTAAGGACCATTAAGGTCAGTGAGCAGTAGGAGGTGTGTGAAGAGAGAGACAAATACAGGCAGAACTGCCACTGCTGATCTAGGCAACCAGGTAGAGGGAGTAGAAATCTAACTACTAAAGTAGTCATTGTTTAGAAACCTGCTGTAGTACCCACTTCTTATAATACTAGTGTAACAACTTTGTGAAACTTCACTTGACACTGCTATGTAAACCCTATGACTGCTGTGTAAAATATTTAACCATCTATTAGAGCCTCCAAGGCTTCCACAGTCAGCTGAGAACTTCAGCACTTTTCATTCACAGTGTATGAATTATGCATATAGCCTAAACATCTCCAAAATCTTAATAGCCTTCCTTTAATGGGCCTTCTTGTTATCAGCACCAATGTTTCCATGGGTTTTATATGTGATGAAAGTAACAATGCAGTGTGAAACACATAACTCCCTGCTAAAATTGGTAATCACTCAAATTTGTGCAAGTGAAGCCTGTACATATAGAAGGAAAAGAATCTTCCTGCCAGCTTAAGAGAATACTTGTGTTAGGAGCTCTGTAATTGCAAAAAAATCACAATTTTTCTTCATCTTCTCCCTTCTAAATGTGCTTTCACTCATAAATTAATTTCTTGGTCTGTACAATTATTATTGCAAACCTAGTGCTGAGAATGCATTGCTGGGTTTTAAGCAGCAGAATTTATCATTATGTGTCTCCAAAAGAAGGCATATGTGATTAAAATGCTGGCCTGAAGCTAGATTGTATGTACATAGAAATGGATCAATAAGATACCCAGTGTATTTCTATTTTCTGTCTTAAACTAGAAGTCAAATTAGTTAAATTGAGCAAATTAAGAAGCCAGAGAAAGGAGTAATGGGTTCTGCTTTCTGCTGGGGCACTGATTCACAGTGGAATACCACCAAATATGCTTGACACCATTATATAGAAATGGCTATATAGACATTTCTTCTGCAAAACAAGTCTTTAACCCCTCACACATATACTTATTATTTTACACCTGGCTAGGTATTGTAGGCATGATAATATTTTTTTAATTGACTGCAGCTTCATGACGATTTGTTGAAGTTCAATGCTGGCATGAATAAAAGTTACCCTAGGAAAATCAGGTAGTGTTTAAATTTCAGCCAGTTGAATGTGCACATTTAGACATGCTCAGATAAATACTTTTAGTCCTTATCAGCTTTATCAGTAAATAAAAAGTATTCTGTAAGACAGTATCAGGACACAAAATAATGGAAAGTACTGTGAGAAAATAATTTTCATCAAGAAAATATGAACAAATTATTTCTGCACCCAAGTGATCTGTTGATAAAATATAATCATGTAGAAACCATGGTTCGAGCACTGACATCGGCCTCAGTACAGTTTATTTTTATTAAAGTCACTAAGGTTTCTCATGGGTGAACCACAAAACCTATTTAAATCCCCTTGAAAGTAACAGCAGACTGCTCTTTGGAGCATTTAAATTATCTGCTGATGGTATTCTTCAAAGAGAGATGATCCATTCAACTTTCAACTAATAAATCATAATTACATGGAAAATGTTTATCAGCCTTTAGAACACATTCTCATACTGACATATGGTTGTATTTCTCTCAGCAGTTTCACTCCTATTTTTCAAAATAATACACAGAATCCAACAAATTGCTTTTTGTTATATATTTGTCATTGATATGAGTTCTAGGATTGCTTTAGGAAACGCAGAACATTGCACAAAAATTTGATTTCTCTTTAATATCCTATGTATCCATTATTTATATGATTTGAGCTATTATCAATATAGTACTATTCCATTACTCAGCAACTGAGCTATGAGGAACATATGAGCAGATTGCTGAATTATTCTTTGGCATTTCCAGTATTTAGCATAATTATACAAAAAAAAAAATACTATAGAAGACAAGCAAATCGACTCCTGTCACTCAAGGCAGGGAGAAAATAGAGAAGATGCTTCTCTAGTAATACATTAAAGTGCAGATAAATGAACACAAATCTTTGAAGAATTGACACTACATATGCACCAGCTTCCCAGAAATTGATCTTTGTGTGAGACTGATGTCAGAGGGTCATGATAGGAATTTTGTTAATATAACGTTTGAAGAATTTCAGTTTTGATCTGGTTTAATCTCTTTTGATTAAACTATAAAATAGTTTATATTTCAACAATTTGCATGCAAATCATGACCAAAATTTTGATATTTCTTGATTTGACAAGGTGTACCATGTCACAATTAGACTCTCAGATAAGCTAATGTTTGCTGTATAGGCACTGTTGAGAAGAACATAATTTGTAGCAAACATAGAAATGTTTATGCATTTGCCTAATTTTCTGCCACAAGTGGCCCTGCTTAGGCCAATGAAGCTATTCTCATCATCAAAGTTAAACACGCACAAAAATATAAGTGTTAACAGGGATCCAGGCTGCCCTTAGACAGGAACTGAAGGGGGCTTGGGATGAGATTAGGACACAGGTGTCAAAAGGTATCATGTTCCCTAGGCAGAAATAGTTTTGGAATTGTATTTCTGAATTTCAACTCAGAGATGTATTTGTAACACTGAGTACATCCTTTGGGTAGTATCTATGTCCTCAAGTACAACATTTAGCAAGACTGTTATGAAGATAAATGACATGATTTTTAAAAACACAGAGGGGAAAGTGAAGGGACTGTTCTTTCCATCATGTAAGAGGGAAGAATTTGTAAAGTATTCTCTGTGCTGGAGATAGACTTCCCCTGATTTTGGAGGGAGGAGAAGATGCTTTGGCCTTCATAAAGTCAGCAAATCTGTGACTTGTCCTAGTGGAAGCTGGAAGAAGAGCAGGCTCTTGTGAAGAAATTCTCTGACTACATTTTCAACAAACCTCTGCAGCACACGCATGCCTCAGTGTGGGATCCTATCTATTAATTACATAACTAAGGAAATGTGAGCACATGAAGAATAAATTGCAAGACTTAAATTATGCTTAGAGACCTTAAATTAGCAAAATCAAACTTGAATATAGCTCCAGATATGGAACACATGGCTCGCTTATCATTGTAGTTTGCATCAGAGCAACTCCACTGAAATAAATCAACAAGACCACTGCATCTAAAAAGGCAATCAGAAGTGATCTACCACCCTGTTCTGCCATGGCCACATGCAAAATTAGATCAATGGTTGTATTAGTGGAAAACATCTAGGTAGATGTAATCTATTATGATTCATAATAAAATGTAGACATTCACCAAAAAATTCGGGATAGATACTTTATTCTCTTGAAAAAATCCAGTCTTCATTCTTGCCATAAAATATTTTGGTAGTTGAAAGTCTTACCAAAAGCAAGGGTACCTGAAAAAACCTAATTTAAGAACTTAGGAAGTTTTTTTAGTACAGGAAGAAACCAGTTGTACTCTCCTCCAGGGAATTCAGCATTTTTTGATAGAATTAAATTTAAAATTTGATAGGCAGAAGAAAGAGACAAATCATGGACCTACAGCCCTTCCTATATGTTTGCTTTTTCATGAGTGAGCTTTCCAGTTTAATGAAGAATTATATCAGCCAGTTCATCCTGTTCACATGGAACTACAGAAAAATAGAGGTGGAATGGATTGGAATGGAGTGGAATGGAGAGAGTCATCTGTCCTCCTGCTCTGTAGTACAAAAAGATACACCAACACTATTCATGACAAAAATTAAGTATCCTTTTCTAAAAATTACCTTCTGCTGAAAACCTTTGAGCAGGGTCCCTTGGATACAGTGCCAGGGAAGAAAGTGGGGAATTCATGAAAAAGCATTAAGTAGACCACAAAGAATTGAGCAGCAGAATTTTTCACCGGAAAGTGAGAACATGTTGTGACCCTTGGTTGCAACCTCTCATGAGAAGAAAGGAGCTGATTACGAACATGATGATAATTCTTCCTGGGAAGGAATGAAATTTTCAATGCAAAGGATCGCATGAGAGTAAATGATCCAGAAAGAACTCAAATTTCCAAAAACTTGGAGGAGCACTGGTTTTGCATATCTATTTTCTATGTGGATTTCTAGCCATTATTTTCCTCTTAATTGTAATACATATAATACTTGCTTCAGTTTAACCTGTTTCTTTTTATTCCATCCATGCTTTCAGTCTTTTCTGATGAAGATTCTCACTGCTGGGTTCATTTTAATTGGACTTCATGTTTCACAACCACAGATATGCAGCATATGTTTGCTCCTGTTTTCATGTATAGCTATTAATTTCAGTGAGCATGTATTTCCTTGGATGGGTTGCATGAGCATGTAATGAAACAATTTCAGTACATATAAGACATCTACCACTTTTCTCCCACTCAAAAATAATATTTTCTTGTCCTAGCAGTCCAATGTGATTTGTTCTTAAAAAATCTTTTTTCTCATTATCTGCTGATTTTCACATGTGCTTTGCTTATTTATTAGAGAATTTTCAAAATATTTAGTTGACCAGAGACAAACCTCTGCTTCTTCTTTTTCAATTTTTTCAGAAATTAGTATGTCTAGATTTTTCCCTCCTTTCAAAAACCTACCCAAGAGCCACGGTTGTTCATATCACCAACTCTCTGTCCTGAAATAGCCTTTACCCGTTCTTAGGCTCTTGTAAATCATCTGAAAATTGTTAAACAATTTGAAAATATCTTAAAGAAACTAACCCAAGGACCTGAACTTTTTATC